CAGTATATGTCTTACTAAATATAATTCGTAGGTCGTTTTATTGACTCATTGGGAAACAGTCAACAACACAGAACAACGGGAGCCTGGGTAAGCCCACATGGACCAAGGCTACCTTGTTTCCCCGAAAATAAGACAGTGTCTTATATTAATTTTTGCTCCCAAAGATGCACTAGATCTTATTTTCAGGCGATGTCTTATTTTTCCATGAAGAAGAATACGGTACACATGTATTGTTAAATGAAAATAAGGGAAATTTATTACCTGTATACGGTACAGTAGTACAGTAGTTGTCAACACAAACCAGACAAACCGTGAATCCTACAGTACCAAGAACTGACTCATTTATTCAATGACAATCATGTCATCATCTTCTGGAACATCATCATAACAATCCAATTCCTGAATTTCCTGGTGAATTTCTTGTGACTCCATTTCTTTCAGAATCAGTGGACCAAATCTCTCATGTTTAGCAATAGCACTGTCTTTAAATGAGTACTTCTTGTCAAGGTAGCCTGCTCGCAGTGCATTTGCAATGCAACTGTCAGTGATTTTCTCCCATGAATTCTTCACCCAGATCACAACTTCTTGCAGTTTAGGTTTCACAAAGTTTCCACGCTGATTTCTCTCCATTCTATTTTCAATGTAGTCATTAATTTCCATGGGCAAATTGTCTTTGAATGGCTTGTTTATTGCAATATCAAGAGTCTGGAGATAGGCCGTCATTCCTGCAGGAACCATTATCTGATCTATTTTTCTTTCGTGAAGAAATATTTCATGTCTTTAGCGCGGTGAGTGCTGGCTGCATCCCAGACTAGCAGACCTCTTTGGCTCCCTAGCATAACAAGCGGCAGCATTAAATCAACCCACTTCCTTATAACTGCTTGTGTGGCCCAGTTTTTATTCTTGAAACCTTTTCAGTTTCAAGAATAAAAACGCCCAAAACACATTCAATCTTTTCCTTCTTGCCCTTAGAAATGATTCAAGGTGGGATTTTAGTGCTATCCAGACGAATTGCCAAAATACAGGAAACACGTGCACTTTTGTAAGCAGTGGAGGGAATGTACACTAAGGAGACACCCCGCTGTACAATTGTTGTTTGAGATGATTGGCCCATAAACACTGCAGTTTCATCCATAGCAATCATGTTGGAAAGATTGTATTTAGAGAAGTCAGCATCATCACTAAAGGACTTGAATGCAAGTGCTCACTTAATAACTTGAGTATCTTCCAACCTAAACAATGTTGTAGATCTTCTTAAAGACAGTTCACTTCGCTGAAGGAAATTACCCAGCCAGTGTTGTGATGCTTTGAAGTCTCCGGGGGCTATGTCAAACTGTGGTGCCATTGCAAGGGCAAATTCTTGAATCTGAGCCCTATTCACAACCAAAGCCTTTGCTCTCCTGTCAACAACCCATTCACAGATCAGGTCTTCCAGCTCGGAAAATAATGGTTGCTGACCTGATCCACACTTGCACTTTTTAGCATTTCCCTTGTCCACTTGTTCAATGAGGTTACCATACTCTGCTCGCCATTTTCTGACCAATCGGATACTCAACATATTCTCTTTGCAGAAAGCAGTAAGATTTTGGCCCCAAGAGTCTTCCATGAATCCTTTCTTGTACTCCACGGAGTAGCTTTTTCTTTTTGCGCTCATTTCTAGGGGTAAGAAAAAGGAATTGGGGTATCAAGGTGGGGGGAGGGGGACCACTTAAAATGACACAGGATCAGAGGGGGGAATCAAAATGGCACAGGAGAATCAGAGGGGGGATTACCATTTTAGTAACCCCTTTTGATCCTCCTGTGTCATTGTGATTGCCCCCTCTGATCCTCCTGTGTCATTTTAAGTGATCCCCCTTCCCCCACCCCTGTGCCACTGAACACCTTCACCAGACATCTCCCTACCCCTTTATCAGACATTTACCCCCTGGGGTCTGCCTGGGGACTGTCACTGGGCTTGCTGGGGCCTGGATCTGGGCTGGAGAAGGGTCTGCCACTGACTGAGAACCTTCAGTCATCCTGAGGGTGGCCGCGAGCATCAGGTAGTGGCACCAGAGACAGACCAGCACTCACCACCTTCGCCGCGTCCCATCTGCTCTAATCCTCCTATTCTTCTAGGCGCATCTGCGAAAGTCCCCTCCTCTCTCCCGCCCCGCGCTCACCCTTCACTCTGTCCTCCGCTCCGCCTCCACACAGCAGTGACACCAGGACTCCACGTAATGTCACTGGTTGCTAGACGCCAGTCGGGGCGGCCCTAGCGACCAGTTTATGGTAAATTAATTTTCATTCTGAGACAGAGCCTAGGGGGGGCCTTATTTTCGGGGGGATGCCTTATATTTCACTCTGAAGGAAACCTGTAAGTAGGTCTTATTTTCGGAGGATGTTTTATTTTCGGGGAAACACGGTAGCAATGGAAAACAGAGATATTCCTCCACTGTGTGCTCTAACTAGAGGCTCCCAGTCCAGAGGGAGGATGGTCACGCACCAACTGGAGATGGCTGTGGCGGCTTCCCTCAGAAGGCTCGTTTCATATGCAGCCCAAGAAATCCCCCTGATTTATTAGAAGGTGGCTCTCAGCTCTTGAAAACAACCCAAGTACGGGAGGAAATGAGGCTGTACGTCCCAGAGGGGGGCGCCTGGATATGGAGGTGGGTTTAAATGCGAGCTTTACCACAAGGGAATATCTTGAGATCCAGGAGTCTCAGTTTCATCTCATTGCGGGGCCAGTGTGTGCGAATTAAGTGAGAAAACGCTGAGCCCTGGGGTGGAGTGGAAAGCGGGATGGTTTGATGAGGGGGAAAATGGTGACATCTGTAATACTTTCAACAATAAAGATAATTTTTTTAAAGAAAAACTAGTATACAAATAGTAGCCTAATGGTAGAGCTTTCTCAGTATTACTACTTCTACTCAGCATTGTAAAGATTCATGAGTGTGGAGAATGTGTATTTCTAATGGTCAATTCAAATTAGTAAGGCCTTTCCTATTTACATGATTAAGCCAGTCAAATTGGCTCAAATCGAACTTTGCGTACATGGGAAAAATGGTCAATACCATTTTGCTTCTCAATAAGGAATTTTTTCCCCAAAAAAAAATAAAGAAAAAGGAAAAATAAAACACATTCAAAGAAAGTGAATTTACGACTACCATCCATCTACCCTCACGTTACACCCACATACGAGAGGAGCAACAATTCACTTAAAATGGCTTGGTGCGGCAGGCAAAACATGGGCTGGGAGTCAGAAGCCAAGTACTAGTACTTAAACGCTTATAATCCACGTTATCATCTTTAAAAAGAAAAGAGAGGTGGAGGCTGTGGTGAAGATAAGTGCAGTAAGCTACCAGCACAGTGCACACTCAGAAACGGTCCCTCCCAGGAGTCACAGCTGCTTCAAGCACAATGGGCTCTGCCTGGAGGAGCTGTGTTTTAGCTAAAGAGAGAAGGAGCGCAGCTGCGAAACTGCAGACAGTTCCCGGGTAACATCACAGCACCGCCTACAAGGGCTCCAGTGAGTGAGAGAGATTCCTGGGGTCTCCTCAGGGAGTATTTAAAGTAAAAGGGGGTAAGAAACACATGGGCAAACGTGTAGGCATAGGCTGAAGAAGCTACAACAGTAAGAGGTCCTACCCGGAATAGATAAGCAACTCTGGGGGGCAGAGAACAATCACCTCTGCCAGGAACAGTGGGGTCAGTCTTAGGTCCAAGCTGAAGGGTTTAGATTTGATCTGTTATGATAGACAAGTGGGAAGCAGCTGTGTAAACAGAGCCATGACAGGATGAACGGGGTTCTTAAATTACTTAGGCAACAGTGCGCACGACAGGCTGGAAGGGAGAGGAAGAAAAGCCGAAGGTGAACTAGGAAAGGCTGACGGGTGTGCAGAGGTCATGTCCAAGCATGGTGCCAAGGAAAAACCGGGGTGGCCTTTGATATTGTGGGAGTTCAGGGCAAGTCACCCCCAAGATGTGCTGTTATGGTTTGCAGATTGTTTTGAGCTAAAGGCCACTTTAGCCATGGGCTCAAGAAAAATGTCTGCCTCTCCCTGAACTATCTAGAATAACTTGAATTAGGATCCTTTTTTAATTGGTATTTAGAGAGAGGAAAGTAGAAGAGGAGAGAGAGAAACATGTGGGAGTGGAACGTCAGTCAACTGCCTCCTGCACGCCCCCGACTGGGGATCAAGCCCCCACCCTGGCACGTGCCCTGACCGGGAATTGAACCAGCAACCTTCCAGGGCAAAGGAGGACGCGCTGGCCAGAGCAGAGGTAACCTCTTTCGATCTATCTATAGGGCAGGGCAGACTTCTATTTACTAAGCATCTGCTCTTCTTATCTGCTCTTCTTATCATCCCGCAATGACCCTTTGAAGCCCACAAAGTACCTTACCTCATCCTAGCTCAGGATGTCTTATGTACCCATGATCCCTTCTATTTCTGAACCTCGCATGTATGTAAGTTCCCTGTCTCAGTGTGCGGGGTTCCCATGCATATGTATGTACTAAATTTGGTTATTTTCTCTTGCCAATCTGACTCATGTCTGTTTGATTACTAACCAGCCAGAAGAACCCTGAGACTCCGGAGAGTATCAATGAGAGGACGCAGTGGCCTGAGGTTAGAAAACACACCCCCGGCCGTGCGGAGGGAGGGGACCCAGTGCCGGTCAGATGGCAGCACGGGGGCTCAACCTACAGGTCTCTGAGCAGTTAACAAGAGAAAAAGGCCTTCTACACTTTAACTACGTTCCTATTAAGCAATCCGGGAATCTCTGGGAGAAGGGGAGGTTAGAACAGCCCAACACTGTTCAGATAAATGTTAATTCACTGCTCTGTTCTCACCATATGTAATCACTCCTACAGTGCCCTACTCGGCAAAGACTTTCAGATTTTTTTAAATATCTTTGGTGTACTTTAGGGAACCACTTTAAAATGATAGCCTTCCTTTTCCGTAATAATGTCCTATGAAAAACAGCCGGGACCGGTTTGGCTCAATGGATAGAGCGTCGGCTTGGGGACTGACGGGTCCCAGGTTCGATTCCGGTCAAGGGCATGTACCTTGGTTGCGGGCATATCCCCGGTGGGGGGTGTGCAAGAGGCAGCTGATCGATGACTCTCTCTCATCGATGTTTCTAACTCTCTATCTCTCTCCCTTCCTCTCTGTATAAAATCAATAAAATATTTAAAAAAAAAAAAAAAAAAGAAAAATGTAACTGGTTGAAACACAAATAGTGTTCATCGATGCTAAACTACCCACCACAGAAAATCAAAATTTCTACATTCACTTCTGAAATGTTTACTATTAGCCTTCACAAGAAGGGAGCGGCCTTTGGTGGAAACACAGCTTTTTGGAGAAGGGCTGGTGCAGAGACAGCGAAGGGGTCAGGATGTGGAAGGATGAGGACTGCCCTTCCCTAAGCATGGCCTGGTGACCTTCTCCTGAACTCCCAGGGACACAGGGGAAGTCCGGGGTGGGGCACAGGCGTGGCTGACGCTGCAGTGGCTACAGAAAGGAGAGGGCCTTAGATCAGAGCGAACCTTCAAGTCCAGGTTTGGGACCAGAGCCACTGCCTGGGCACCTTGCCTTTGCCTGAGGTCGTCTGTTCTTATGCCTGATTCATATCAAGAAGCAAATTTTCCTAAACCACAGAAAACAGACTGCAAATGTTATCAACTTCCTCTTAAGGATGTAAAACAGAAAACAATGAGGAGGTCAGGAAAAGGTCAGTTGTGAGAAGAATGTATTATAGAATATCTGTTGGAGGTTTAGTCACTGTAGTTTGTAGAGAGTAACTAACTCTTGGAGGCATAGATGAAATATGGCTAAGGGAAATAGAATATTTGACATGAGTCAAATTCACTAACAATCCAAAGCCAATTTTAAAAAGGAATGAATGTTCATGTTAAAGAATATTCTAATACTAGCAGTAAATTCCACACAATTCTATATTATGTCTAAGTTTTGTTTAATCACTTAAGGAACACTGAGGTTATTTTGAAAATGCACACATTACCTGTCCTTTTCCACAACCACCGGAGTAGGATAGGACTGGTTACTCTTATTGCCAGTGCCCAACTGGCCGTAAGAATTTGCACCCCAAGCATATACTTGGCCTTCATCTGTCAATATTAATGTGTGTGCGTAGCCGCAGGCAACCTAAAAGAGAAAAACCAAATCCACTCAGGCCTGCACATGGAGAGAAGAAAGGAAAAGGGAAGAGGCAGCCTCCAAGAGAGCAAGCCTTAAGTTAGCCAGTCTCTTCGGAGCCAGCCTAGGTCCCATGCGGCCAAAATTACAGTCAGCTGGCCCTGAGTCCCTGAGGGAGGAGGCCAGTCTTTACCTTCAATGAGGCGTTCATTATGCTCTCAGAGACCAAGGGAATGAAGGTAATAAGCAGCAGACACTTTCACTTTTTAAGAAGAGTTTTCTTCTTTTATTATAAACGTTAACATGTTCAATGTGAAAAAATTATAAGTGTGAACACAATCTCAAGCTTAACGTTTTTTTGAGTTATATAAAGATATGCAGATAGCTTTTTAAAATGATCATATTATATAAGCAGTTCTTTATCTTTTTTTTTATTTAATATTACATAGACTGCTGTTCCTAAATCATAAAAACCCTTTGTAAACGTATCTTCTCCACTGATTCTGTAAGTGACTTTCTCTTTGGTTCCTTAGAATAGAGTAGAACTACACATCAAAGGATGTGACTATTTTTAATCCTCTTGATATATATTGTCAAAATTTCCTTGGAAAAGATTTTAACAATTTATATTCGAACAATTGTGTAAGAGAGAGCACCCTAGAAATTTAAATTTTCTGATGAATTACTATAACTTAATTCAAGGAAATAGAGCTTAAACCTTTACTTAATGAAGATACCCAAGCAGCTAAATGTTTTATCCTGATATCGAAACTGTTTTTAATGCATTCGTATCTTTAAAAACCAATAGTGGACGTACCCGCTGGACGCGAACACCTTGCAGAGCTAGTCTGCAGGGGGTTGACTGGTTGCCACCACTGCCAAGTCCGAGCTGCCCATTTCCATTGTAACCCCAGACATAAACCTGAGAGAAAACGGGAGACTCAATGCCAACAAAAGACAAAAAGTTTTCTGTGTGAGAAACATGCCATGTGGGTATGACACTGAAAAGGCAGTTTTTTTTAAGTGAAATATGAAATAACCTTCTCACCTCCCCATTGTCCACCACGGCCATGGAGCACATCTGCCCACATGCTATGTTCACAACTACTTTATTCTGTAAGCAGCTCGTGACTCTTCGAGGGATCGGCTGATTAGCTGTTGATCCAGAACCGACCTGCCCAGAGTTATTATAACCCCAGGCAAATACCTATTTGAAAGAAGAGATCAATTAATGCAATATACCAACTTATAAAGTATCCTGATTATACACTAACATATTTACATGGCACCTCATCTTTGCTCTAAAAGTGGTTGCTATCCATAAACTGACACAACCAACACAGGCAGAGAAGTTTTGGTAAGATTCATTTTTTAAAGTGTATTAATTTATGAAATTAGATTATTGGTGTTATCTATGCAAACAGTAGTAATTATTACCAAGTGCCATATAATCTATATTATAAAAGGCCTGTGGTCCTAACACCATAATGACCAAAGACCGGCACGGTGGGCGGGGCTGGGAACGTGGCGAGGCCGCTCTGGTGGGCAGGGCCATGCTATTTCATGCTGGGCTTCTGGTATTTATAACAATATCTACTTTGCAACAGCCATCTTTTCCAGCATTTGGGAATTTTTCTTTTTGTAAATAACCCCTGTGAGTATAGCAATATAGAAGAAATAGCACATCCTCTTAAATTTTGCAGTAATAGACATTTTCTATTGCATGAAGGTAAAAAAATAATATAAACACCATGACTATGAGTTGCTAACAAGAATAAAACTGACTTTGTTTAATCAAATGATCATCCTTCTAGGACTGCTATAGGAATCTATATAATTTTACTGAAAAAAAAAAATTGATGACATTTATGCTGACTGTTCTTACTTCTCCATCAGATGTTAGCACCAAAGAATGGTAAGACCCACAGGCAACTTCAATCACTTGTTTGTTGGACAAATTAGTGGAGATATGACAGGGCACCAAGCCATGATTAGTTGTCCCATTGCCCAGCTGGCTATAAGCATTATGACCCCACGTAAAAACTTCTCCTTCTGAAAAATAAACACAAAACACAGACATAATTAGCTTTCAAAATATCTACTTCACCATATGAAAATATATACTGCACACTTCTACAAGTGAAACTAAAATTGCATCACTTTCCTATTCCACCAAACTCATTCTATAAAAATAGGCATTTGAAAAATATAAACCACATTCTACCTCAAAGCAACAATACAAAATTTAAATAAATAAAATTATAATACTGAAAGATAGGCTCTTTTTTTCCATTTTTTATTAAGGTATTATATATGTACATATCTTACCATTGCCCCCCCACGCCCATACATGCCCTCCTCCCCAGAGTTTTGTGTCCATTGGTTGTGCTTATATGTATGCATACATGTCCTTCACAAAGATTAAAAAATAACTTGGTGATCATTTTATTAATAAAGAAGTTAAATATTTTTACTTTCCATCTAATGTGGGTTTTTTTCCTATGTACTCTATTAAAAGCAGTCTTTTAATAAATGGCAGGAAAAAAAGGCCACTTTTAATAGAGTACATAGAAAAAAAAACACATTAGATTGAAAGTAAAAATATTTAACTTCCTTATTTATAAAATGATCACCAAGTTATTTTTTAATCTTTGTTATTATGTTATTATTTAATCTTTGTCATTTATTGCATAATATAATACACATTCATAAATGTTCATCAAATATATATACACAATTTCATAAATAATTATAAAACATACATACCCATCTGCTCCCATTCAGGTGAGAAAATATAACCTTTGGTCACTCCCAAAGCCCCCCACATATAAATCCAAAGTTATTTCTCCTCTTTTTAAACTTTAAAGAAATGGAATCATACAATATATACTTGCTTCAGCTGTATTTCCTACCATATTGTCTCTTTGTGCTACATTCCGGATTATTATTTCTGCTCTATTTTCCAGTCTATTAATTTTCGCTTCTGCTGTGTCCAAACTGCAGCCAAAATTGTCTACTGAGTTTTTCATTTGGATAATTACACTGTACATTTGGTTCTTTTTCAAATCTCTTATGGTCTCTGCAGGTATCTTAGAGCTTATTATTTTTTATTTTTTGAACAATAAATACAGCCATCTTATTACTGGTGTCTGGTAATTCTAATATCTGATATTCGTCATCAGTTTTTGCAGGCTGTTTTGCTGGTTCTCCCTCATGCTGCCTGTTGCCTTATGTGCCTTGTTGTCTTTCACTTTGGGCTGCTAATTGCGATTGGAAAATCATTTTTCAACGGCATCATACTCCCTCAGCCCCAAATGAAGGTCCTTCCCAAAGAAAGGGTTTACATCAACTTAAGAAGGCACTTAAAGGTGTCTCTTTAATGAATTCAAGACTTAAGATTTCTTGGACCATCCAGTCTGATGTGAGTGGCATACAAATCTGTGTTTACAATCTCTCAGGGAGAGGTTTTCTTTCTTTTTTTCCTTCCTGATTTGCTCAGAGCCAAGGAATTCTTTATTTGGGTCCTGTAAGAAGGAAGAACGGCTCATCCTGCCATGAGAGTGTAGCCCTCTGTGGTCTCAGCTAATGTGTTGACTTATGACCCCTTCACCTCGTGAGTACATTAGACCTCAACTCCATTTAAGTGGGCAGGCAGATGTCTTTAAGGCCAAATTGGCTTCAAGTTCCCCTCTGACGTCTTAGTTCACACTTTCTCCTAAATCTGATCTAATATTTTAATAGTTGTTTTTCAGGGAAGAAATGATCTAAATAATCTAGCCTGCCACTACTGGCAACCAATAGTCCCTAAAGATTATTTTTTTAATGTGAAATAAGCTCATAAAAGAATAGAATATTTATTTTTGGTTTAAAGAATACTAACAAAACGAATACCTCGTTTAAGAAAAACTCTAACTTACATTTTAATTATAATGTCCTATTAGTCTGAATTCATGAAAAAGCCATGAGAATACTTAATTCCGTATATTACTAATGCTAACTACAGTCATCGGTCACTGACATAAGAATCACAGAATGCTAAGAGTTGGAGGGGATGCTGGAATCTGGCTGTCGGCGTTCAGTTCATAGATCAGGATCTCAAATTCAAAAAGCCTAGAGTAACTTCACCATTTTAATGCAAAAGAGTTATACTTGTAAAGGGTAAACAAAAAGGGGCTTCCTGGGCTTAAAGCACCGCCATTCTTCTATCTAAAGTGCCAATAATCGCTAGATTCCATGTGCTACATTACTTTACTCGGATAGTCAGATATGTTCATATTTTATGTTGTCCAAACATAGTCAAGTTCATAAGGCAGAGCCAGAAACTCTTGTCCAATCAAAAAAGTATGTTCTGGATTTAGGGGTGGTCCTACTCTTGTTTTTCAATAAGTCAAGCAAGGGCTAAACTTTGACACTGCGCTCCTAGGTTACCTGATGTGGCAAGAACAATATGTGGCCCGCTCCCGTAGCTGAGGCAGGCTACTTTTTTGCCACTTAGAGAATCCAGTCTCCGGGGTTCGATGGTGCTCTGGACGTCGCCTAACCCCAAACAGCCACAGCAGTTTGTGCCAAGCACAAACACCTGCGGGGAAAACCACTGTTAGTTCAAGAGTTCTCCTTCTGACAAACCTGTCATTACATTCAAGCAGGCATCGGCCTCCTAAAACAAAACTGCTTTATTGTATAATAAATACGAATCTACTCTGTACTTTTTTTTAAACCTTAATTCCTTAGTTCCCCCAAGGTCTTCAGTCCACCTAGCAAATGTATGACTGAAAATAGAAGTGGTTGAATTTTTTTCTTCAAAATCACCTCATTGTTCACTGTCGTATATAAAACTTCATTGCCGGCACTTCCAAACACACAGGCCTGGCGAATCAGCTGCAGCTCCTCCTCAGAACAAAGGGAGAAGATGGGCCACTTGCCCACATCTAACATCTTCAGAGATGACGGAGTAGCCTGCACCGGCTGAAAAGGAAAAAAATATATATATTGAGACTTTTCATTTAAAAATTAAATGTCCTTGCCCCTTTCATTTCTGCAGGAGAGCAGGCCTGATTTCGTGAGGAAGGAGTTCTATTTCTGAGAGGCTCTCACTGCCGAGGAAATTGCCCTCACAAGCTCCAGTGCTTCAGTGCTGCTCTCCCTGCAGCAGAGAGCCAGAGCTCTGGACAGGATCAGACGCCACCTACTAATTTTCGTCAAGGACCTGGGAATCATCCGAGGCCAAACACTGGGAGCCGAATGGCGAGCCATCTCTTTAAGTGCTGGCTGTCTTGAACAGGGCTCTGGAAACCAGGCTGGTTGTAAAAGCAGGAGGGTAAAGGGGAGAGGGGGGACTTTTATTTCATTAGCTGCCCAAGTCTTAGCAAAACAAGTCCTTGGAAAAGAATAATGCTGAAGGCCATACCGAGGAAACGGTCCAGAAATCTCAGGTCAGGGGCCAGCTCGGACCTTCAGTTTAAACAGCTGGCGGGTCCCCTTCCCTCCTCAGGTTTGGGTATTGGTAGGAAGAAACACTCAGACAGTGTGTGTATTCATTTGCTAGGGCGACTACAGCAAAGTACCGCAGATGGAGTGACTTGACAACAGACACTTATTTCTCACAGTTCTGGAGGCTGGGACGTCCAAGAGCAAGACACCAGCACCATCATGTTCCTGGTTCGTTGCTGGTGCTTCTCTCTTGGTGGAAGGTGCTGGGGATCTCTCTGAGCCCCTTAGAGAAAGGCACTAACCTCAACCATGAGTGTTCCACCCCGACTTAAGCACCTGCCACTTCTTCATACCATCACCTTTGGAAGTTAGGATTTCAACATGTGAATGGGGGTGGCAGGGCAACAACAGTGATACCTCCTGAGGAAAAAATTGTTTGGCAATTTTGTCTAAAGAAAGAAATGCATTGTTAGGCAGCTTTGTCACCATGTGAACATCACAGAGTGCATTTAGACAAACCTAGGTGTTTATAGTCTACTGTGTACCTAGGCTACATAATATAGCCTATTGCTCCTAGGCTGCAAGCCTGTATACATGTTGTGTACCAAATATTGTAGGCAATTATAATGCATTGCACTACAATGCTACAATGTCACTAGGCAATAGGAATTTTTGAGGTCCATTATAATCTTACTAGAGGCCCAGTGCAAGAATTCATGCATGGAGGGTGGGGGACGGGGGTGTCCCTTAGTCTAGCCTGCAACCCTCTCTAATCTGGGACAGCTCCCTCTCGCAATCCAGGACTGCTGGCTCCCAACTGCTCACCTGCCTGCCTGCCTGATTGCTCCTAACTGCTTCTGCCTACCAGCCTGATCACCCCCTAACCACTCCTCTGCCAGCCTGATTGATGTCTAACTGCTCCCCTGCCAGCCTGTTTGCCCTCAACTTCCCTCCTCTGCCAGCCTGATCACCCCCTAACCACTCCCCTGCCAGCCTGATCAACATCTAACTGCTCCCTGCTGGCCTGATTACCTCCAACTGCCCTCCCCTGATGGCCTGATCACCCCTAACTGCCCTCCCTTGCCAGCCTGGTCACCCTTAAGTGCCTTCCCCTTCAGGCCTCTTCTCCCCCAACTGTCCTCCCCTGCAGGCCTGGTCCCTCTCAACTGCCCTCCCCTGCAGGCCTAGTTGCCCCCAACTGCCCTCCCCTGCAGCCTGGTCCCCCCGCCAACTGCCTTCCCCTGCTGGCCATCTTGTGGCTACCATCTTGTGCCCACATGGGGATGGCCATCTTTGACCACATGGGAGTGGCCATCTTGTATGTTGGGATGACAGCAATTTGCATATCACCTCTTTATTATATAGGATAAGACCACCATCCTTATGTGAACTTTCACTGACCAAAAAACATGGTTATGTGGCACATGACTGTAAACTCACATGTTTAGCTCATGAGCATGTGCACTCATGATGAGAAAAAAGCATTCAAGCTATTTTGAAGAGTGCTTTTATTGATTTGATATACTGAAAACATTTTTACTTATGTACTTTCCAAATTTCAATATTTTTGTAGATTACAATAAGATGCATAAACAGCCAATATGCCTATTAAATTACATGTTTGGCCATTTTCTTCAATAAATGGTGGGTTGTTCAGTTGGTTGGAGCATAAAAGGCTGTGGGTTCAATTCCTGGTCAGGGTGCATACCTAGGTTATGGGTTCAACCTGAATGGGGTGTGCATACAGGAGGCAACTGATCAATGTTCCTCTCTCTCTCTCCCCCCTTTCTCTCTCTAAAATCAATAAATATATCCTCAGATAAGGATTAAAAATAAATAATAAGTAATCATACTCTTTATGGATTTAAAGGAACAAGGGACTTTCTTAGGCCTGTCTTTCCCATCAGCTACTAGGAATGAGTTCTGGTAGAAGGATGATTGTGTTAGATACTTAATTTCTACAGACCTGAAAGGATATTTGTTCCTTCCACCCTTAAGAATCATGGCCTCGCTGACACCTTGGTTCTAGACTTGTAGCTTCTAGAACTAGGAGAGGATAAATTCCTGTGATTTTAAGCCCCTCAGTTTGTGGTCCTTTGTTAGGGCACCCTTAGGAAAATAATAGAGAGGCCAAGCAGCTTGTCATTGCTAACAGAATCACCCTGAGTTAGTGGCAGAGCCTGAACGGGGGCGAGCTCCCCTGATGCCTAATCCGGCCACTTAACTTCACCGTGCCACTTGAACTATGAGACCCTGTCGCAAGAATGCTGTCTCCTATTATCTTCTGGCAGCACCCAAGGACAGAACCTAAGCTAAGGACAGAACCTAAGCTTCTACTTTAAATGACCCACCTCCTTATGGCTACAAAGAATCTAATTTTCTATGAGGTCCTTATTTTAATATTTTTCCAACTTAACTCTAGAAATTTCAAAAAGAACAAAGGTTGGGATGTGGCATCAAATATTTAATGAAGATATCTTATGTGCTAGTTAAGAGTTCTTATATATTATTTCTAATCTTCTCAATTGTAGGACATAGCTATTGCTATCCTCGTTTTACATATAAGGAAACTGAGGCCCAAAGAGACTAAGTAATCCTTCAAGATCACTAGCCCCTAATGGATGAGCTCAGGTTTCTTTCCCCACATGACCTGTTGCTGAGTAAGAAGTTCACATAGAAAGTTATATTGCTGGTAGGCCTAGTGCTTGCTTGTATTTGCAGGGCTTTGGCTGTTGCTCCCACAAAGTTCGTATGAGCAGGGCGGTGACACCCACTGTGGGTTGTCATGCATGAACATGGCAGGTGGCAATATACAAGAAAACAAGCAGCAATGCTACCCAATTTCCCCCTTTCAAGCAGGCTTTTGGATTTCAGCCTGTCCTGCTATAATAAAATCAAGTGGTTTCCTAGATGCCTAGAATCAGGTTGCAAAGTCAACTAGCAACTAAATGCTAGCCCATCTCTACAAAATCTATAGTGCCCAGCTCATAACTCTGCTGACCACTGGGAGTCCAGAGTGTTTGTAATGTCACCTGCAGCATACATCTGTGACAGGGCACTTCTGGTCAAGAGAATGCTGGGCCTGACAGTATCACCAAACATTTATTGAGCGTCCAATATTAAAGGTATAAAAATGAGACATAATCTCTCCCTTCAGATTCTCACAATTTAATAGAAAACAAATAACTATAATACAACCTAAGTAAAACAGAGGTGTGAACATACTGGTTTTTAAATCTGTCAGAGACTGGCTGCTGAAGTCAGTCATCAAAAATTCATTTTTTGTTGTTTGTATGGGAAACTCATACAGTAATTATGATTAAAGAATAAATTGTGAAACAATTTATGTACAACTGTAAATTTGTGTACAACTGTAAACCCACTTTTGCCCCACTCTGCATAATAAAAGAGTATATAGTACAAGAATTCACACGAAACACCCTATAGGAGCCTCAATCATGCTGCAGCCACCTGCAGGATGGGCGCCATCTCCATAGAAGGCACCCAACTGCCCTGCCTCTATGCCCAATGGTTATGTCAGGGACTGGCTGAACAGGAGCCAAGAGAGGGCAACAGAAAAATATGTGTGGAATATCAAGGAATGAGAACTTCCTTTACTGCTTTGTTCACATCCAGTCCACCTCCCCCATCTTTTGCAGGCGTCTGTTTGGGAAATGCAAAGTAGCAAAGCTATAATTAGCTCAAGGAAAACATAACTAAAAGGAAACAGAGTTCCATAAAGTTAGAAACCACAATGCATTTTATTATTCCTTTGAGTGTGTGCTACATGTGTAATTGTTTTTCCATCAATGAGAACCAAGTGGATTATGATACTTCTCTTAACTACAAACAATTATTAAGTTGTCATAATTCAATTTAAAATACAGCATATGGGAAAGAATTAAAAATTACATGTTGGACTTCCTTGCAAAAAAAAAAAAAAAAAGGAAGAAGAAGAAGAAAGAAAGAAAAGCAGCCAACACTTTGCCTTTGAAGATTTCCTGGCAGTCTAACACTTTATATGTAATAAAGTAATTTCATTCTTTGAGTACATTTTTTATTTTATAAAATCTGTCTCCAGAGAAAAGTTAGGAATTTTCCTATTAACATTTTGTAAGACTCTCCAGTCTTTTCTAAACTATTTTTGGACTTCCCTACAAAGACTCACAAACAAGCACTTTGAATCAGGACATGGTAATTCTATGGTTCAATTTCAGAAACTTCTGAAAGTATGCTCACTATAATTTACATTGTTCACTATATTTTATTTAAAAAGAGTGGAAATAGAAAAGTAGAAGTTAATAGTGGCAGTTAATATTAAGCAGATACTAACAGTGAAGAGCAGATATTCTCTAAATTTAATAAAATTAGCACTAGATGGAAATCATTGTGCATGCTGAAAGATGTGAAAGTTTAATGTCAATTGGACACTGACTGGACTAACGCTGGTGAAATGTAATGTTTAAATGTGATGAAACAGAAGTAAATTAAAGAATATTTATAATGAATTAAGATTATGTCATCTAGGATGAAGTATTCTATAATTTTTAAAAACCTCTGGGAATGGAGTGAACATTCCAACTCAAACCCTTCTGTGAGACAGCAATGTTTCACCCAGCTCACACGTCATCTCTCAGAACCCTCTCTCTACTTCTCACACTACATCCATAGTTCCTTACTGGGCCCTATAAACTTTACATTCTATATAACCACAAAATCTGTTGGCATTCTTGTCACTATACTGTGAGCCCCTCAAAGATAGATACTATCTTACTGATCTTCCTATCGGATGACCAATAAATGTTTGATGAAGTGTTTCATGCCACAGAGAAAATACATGCTTCAAAGGTGTTTGGAGCATGTATTTGTTTGTTTGTTTGTTTGTTTGTTTGGAGCATGTGTTTGTTTGTTTGTTTGTTTGTTTGTTTGTTTGTTTGTTTTTCTAACCTTGGCACTTTCTCCATAAAAAGGGGGAAGTTCTTCTTCCATATGGACTCAGTCCTGTGCAGTTCCTGAGGAAAAAGTATTTGGTAAAATCAGCATCCCATATGTCAAATGAAACTAGGCAGGTTGAAATTACTTCTACTTAACAGAGAAAATAAGCTGAGCTCAAATACGGTGAAGAGAAGATAAAGGAATTAAGTTTTAGGCATGGGAGTTAATAGCTATAAAACTCAAAAGGTGTTTTAACTGTTCTGGAACTACCTTATTGCTTCTTATGGGAATCCTCTTGCTGAGGTTGGAAAAGCAATCCCAGGATAAATGTAGATTCTTAAATCTAAAAGGAAGTAAGTAGAAAATTTTCATTTCAGAGTTGACTTTCTATAGATAAAGAAAAATAAACCTTGGACCTTGTTCAAACTTCCACTGGGATTGGAAAATTCCAAATCACTGTGAACAGCAGACTTATCAATCCTCAGCTCCACTGAGAAATATATGATTTACTAAGCTAGGGGAAAAGGTAAGGGAGAGGGGAGGTAATGAATGAAAAGGATGGAACGATGGATGAGCATGGCTGTGATATCCTAAACTTTAACAAAAAATCTGAAACAACAGCCTTCAAGAATGTAGCAACAGTACTGGATGTGCCTGCCTGAACCATCTTCATAATATTTTCTACCACAAAGAAGTAACAGCAGAAGCAGCCCTATCAGAATACATGCACCATGTCCATGATTCAGTCATTACAAGTCAACTATCTCAACACAAAGATGAAAAAAAAAAAAAAAAAAAGCAATTTAATGAGCCCTCTCTCTACTCCTCAGATTTCTAAGTGGTTAGAGCGTAGGCCCACGGACCAGGTTTTTGTGTTCGTTGTCTTTTCCACCTCATCCCTGTACCACTGTAGATAGAGATTTATTTTAACCACTGTATATGCTGGTTTTCTAAGGAAGAAAAAAAATGGTTTTTTTTCAGTGTCTTTTAGAAATTTCAACAATAGTAACACATTAAAAATTAAAATGATGAAAAATGAGCCATTCTGTTTATTTGATAAGACATAATTGCATCTAGGCATAAGAAAATTATCATATTCAAATAAAAACATTCAGTTGAATTCAATTAACATAATTTAATTTTGGTTGATCAACATTCCCAATATACTTAGTATCCAATATACAAAAATGATTCAAGATTAATTATTATTTTACAGTACTGTGAAAACATACAGGATCTTCTAGCATTGTGAAAAATGCCTTTTTTAAAAACATTCAAATATGATGCAAACACATAGAAGAAACAGAGAAAGAAAAGAATATACCTTCTTGCAACTTTAATAAAGTCATTATTTACCTGAGAAAAATACAATTTAAAAATTATATCAGCTCTATTATTCAAAAGTCAGCAGTAGAGGTACTCAATTATTTTAAAAAATCAATATTGTAAAAATTAACTTCTAGATACTATACTTTATAAGTTTTGGGAGCAGGCTTCAACAATCTGGACATATGAAAAAAAATACTAAAAGAGCTTAATCTACAGTATTTCAACATAGAAAATTCAAAGGAAAACATCTGGAATGTAAAAAAAGCAAAACTTTCAAATTTCTGGAACAAAATATAAAACATATCTTGATGATTTCAGGGCAGGGAAAGATTTCTTAAATAAGACACAAAACAAAAGCATAAACCACAAAGAAAAGAGCAATAAATTTTACTACATTAACGCTTAAAATTTTGGCATAATAAATGACAGAATGAACAAAAGAAAAAATGTGCCAAGAAATGGGAGAAGATATTTTCAATACATTTAACTGAGAGCTGACACAAGGTAGCACCCAGAATATATAAAGAACACTTAAAAATCAGTAAGAAAAAGACACTTTAGAAACGGGCAAAGGATACAAGCAATTACCAGAAGAAATTAATAAATATACAAAAGAATGCTCAAATTCACCATGGAATTTATGATGGAAATGTAATCACAATGTGATAGATTGCATCCATAAGATCTGAAAAATTAGAGAGGAAAAATACCTAGTGTTGGTGAGGATGCAGACCAAAAGACACTTGAATTGCTGGAAGGAATGTAAACTGATATAATAACTTTAGAGAGCAATCAACAATACTGCCTTTCAATCATATATATATACTTAAAACAAAAGTTTCATAAAATCTTACCCTTACTACATGAGATGCTTATATCTTCTTTTGTATTTTTTCTATTTTATTCTATTCTACCCCGTTTTTGTCTTATCTTTCTCTATTTCATTTTTTAAAAACATTCTCAGCCCACTAAAATAATTTCAAAATCATTAATAAGTCATGCCTAATAATTTGGAAAACAATGGTCTAGATAAACTCTAGAGTATACACAAAATGTTCACAAAAACAAAACTAGAAATAGAAAGCAATAGACTGAGGTATGTGCATACCGCACACCAATTAAGTAAATTATCCAGAATCAACACAGATAAATATCGAAAACAATTTTGACCAAAATAACTAAGTTACAGAATGATACATAATTGATAAAATGTTAAAACATGCAGAAAACAATAGAATTTTAATGTGCTATGAATATAGTGACATATATATGGCAGGACTTTGATAGGTATTTTTTTCATATGGACATTTTGATGGAGGTAATACTAGAGAGAAAATTTGCCATGTCATTTTATCATTGAATTGGTATAATTTGGCTTTTCCATCTGACAAGACAGTTTTCAAGATGCTAAGCCTAACTTAATCATCTGAGTATGGTAGGATAACCCAGAGTTAAGGAAAACAACATTTTAGAATCAGAATGCCACCATTTTAATATTGCCTTTACCACGAACACAGAAATTCAATACAGGTTTAAAAATGAGAACTCATAACCCACAATTTCTTTCTCCATCTGAAAAATAAAATTTTACCAGTACCATAGGATGATAATAACCAAATAGCATAGATACAACATAGCATCTTAAATGCCATAGAAAAAAATAAAGAAAAGTTTACTATAATAGCAAAAATGTGTGTTTTTCTTCTGGTCTAAATCTATTTACAAGTTTCCCCCTTTTCTGCACAGGAGTGCAATATTTCTTGTAGACACTGAACAGGGGCTGGGATTGTTTGGGAAGATATTCTTCATAGTGATAGTGTCATGGCATTAGATAATCCCAAGTGATACATCCTACATGTTACTTTGTTATTTTTTTCCCTACACACGTTTTAGGATTTATTACTTGGCTCATGTATATAGTTTTATATAGTTAATTACTCATATTAAAAAGTGCTTTGTAAAATAGTTCCTTATGTACTTTATTTGTTTAAATATAATTTTAAAACTATGCCATTATAGGATCTTACTGTACTGATATTTGCTTTGCAAAATGAAAAGAAAATGGGAGGGTAAGTGTCATGGCATTAGCTCATCCCACATGATACATCCTTTTCTAAGCAGACGCTCCTGCTGATGATCGCTATCTTTAGAGGATCAAAATTAGATGTTCAGGGGCCAATGTTTCAAATTTTGGCAAGAGTCATTTTCAAAACTAAATATACATCAACTAAGACAATCTTTTGCGTGACATTTCCTATTTTGGTTGTTTTCCTAAGTGTGGATAGTTCAATAATTTATTTCCAAATTAACCCTATTTAGAACAGATAACTTCTTATTCTTACATACTCTATTTCCAGAGTTTTCCCTACACTCTTTTTTTGAAATATATTTTATTGATTTTTACAGAGAGGGAGAGAGGGATAGAGAGTTAGAAACATCGATGAGAGAGAAATATCGATCAGCTGCCTCCTGCACACCCCCTACCGGAGATGTGCCCGCAACCAAGATACATGCCCTTGACCAGAATTGAACCTGGGACTTTCCAGTCCGCAGGCCAATGCTCTATCCACTGAGCCAAACCGGTTTCTGCTTTCCCTACACTCTTAACTACACGCTTGAGTACTATTGGACAAGCAGACAATCTTTTGATGACTGAACATGGTAATATATACATTTTGAATCTTCTCAAAGAACAGGTCAAATAATTCACTTCCCTGTACAAAGCATATAAAAGGCAGTCTCTACATATTATTGTTGGTAAAGCAATCACTACTAATCAGTGTGTCTGCTAACATGGCATGTCATTATGGACTGAAATTTGGTTAGGCCTATCTGGTTCGTTCAGAAGTCTCTAAGAGCAATAATTCAATACCTTCAAGCCTGACATAATACCAAGTGAGTCTTTAAAAGTTTCAAATAAAGAAAAGCAATGACCACGCTTAGAAAACAACATCACAAGTCATACACAGTCAGAGGGACATTAAGAAACAATTGCAAAGTGTAGTTAAATGTAAAGAAAACATACAAAATTTTTCACCACAGCTGTCGATCTCCTTTGGCTAGTCTCTTCCACTGAAGAGCCCGGTCTCCTAACTTGATGCGCTGAGGTTAACTGTAAAACCCTGAGTAACTTGAACTCAATTTGAAAGAACATTTTGTTTTACCTTTATATTATAAAAGATGATTACACTTGCTATAATGGTCAAGTATGAGTCCCCATACTTGACATAGTAGAGAATGGCAAGGAACATCTTCTCCCAGAAAGACAATTAATTCTAAAAACCAGTTCTCTGCCATAACTATCACCTTCAGTTTACCCTCCAAACCCACAGTGACCATGCTGTTAAAACTGCAACCCCTATGTACACTCCCAGTTCCTTTTCTCTGCTCTCTTTGTTCATAGCACTCATAATTTCCTAGCATTAAGTAAATGTTTATCGTTACTCATTTTTTGCTAGAAGGTAAGCTCCAGAAGAAAAGAAATCTTTGTCTATTATGTGCACTGATATATCCAAACACCTCGCCACGATCTGATACAAGGCAGTCACTGGGTAAATGTTTGTTGAATGAATGAATCCAAGTTGAGAGTTTAGTACAAAACATTTCTGGAGACAAATTTCAATTTCACTTATGCAGTTAACAAATATATACCGAGATCTGTAATTATGGAGGAGAACGATCACATCAATCAGATAGTGATAAGTGCCAAATAGAGCAACTGAAGA